TCTAGTGGGTGTGTTGTCGGAACGGGGGAGGTGGAGTAGCAGGCTTTTCTTTTTTCCAACATGGTGGACAAGGTACATGAGGGAAACGGTCATTTGCCTTAGAAAGGAATCCAAACGGAGAAAAGCCAGTTACCGAGAGAACTTTTTTTTTTAACTTATGGCACAATCTCTAAAGTCATGGGTCCTCATGTTTGTTCTCGATAAAAGGGAGAAAGGCCAAGAAATTAATCTAGCACGTCCCGTCCCAAGAAGGTCAAGTGAAGGGCAAGGTACGTGGGAAGTCTGGGATTCGAGTCACCTGGGAGAAGAAAGAATGCGTGTCTCATCGCCCACGTGCAGTTTGTGTCTGCTGCTGCTGCCTCTCTCGGGGGAAGACTGTAGCGGCCCAGATTCCCCATGTGCACGGAGGGTAAGAGCCTTAGCGTTGGCTTGGCTTAGGGCTTTGCTTTACATCGCCCAGGCATGCCCAAGGGAGCAATACAGGGGAGACACTGTCTCCCCCGCGGACTGAGATGTGTCCCCCTCCAGCTCCTCGCTCTAAGCCCCTGTGGGAGTTTTGGTCCCAACAGCATAGCACCGGGTGGTGAGCTCACCACGTTGCTCCCATGGTGAGAAGACACTTTCGCCTCGTGCTGTACTGTGCCGCAGACCCAGGTCCCACCTCTGCCCCTCAGCCCCCACTGGAGTTTGGGGGACCACAACCGGGGGAGAGGGCCATCATTAGTGGATGTGCAGGACTGAACTTTCCCTCCCCTGGCACTTGGTCCTACTCCCAACTCCAGAGTTCCTGTGAGTCCGATGGGATCTACAGTCCTAGCTATTGCTGCAGTTTTGGTGACAACTGAGCCAGTCTGGTCATTGCTTCTTAGTTCTGCTTCATGTTCTGCCCTAGGCCTGGTGTCTGACACCCATCCCCCTGCTTTTTCACAGGAGCCCAAAGCAATCTACACTAATAAAAGAGAAAGATGCAAATTGAGTGTACCTTTGCCACACCCACCAGCCAATCAGGAGTGAGTATGCAAATCAACCCACCAAAGATGGCAAGTTAATTTGCATATGCAGGCTCTGAGCAGCTGGAGCTGGATGCAGGCTTCCACACTACCCCAGCTGCTCTGGGCCTCTGGGCAGCGTGGGAAGGCAGAAAGGCAGCTCCGGGCTGGAGCAAAGGTGGTGCTGGCAGCCAGGGGAAGGAAGGCCCATTCTTGCACGAATCTTCATGCATCGGGCCTCTAGTCTTATAATACATCCCTGGGCCGGTGCTCAATCCATACCCGCTGCACTCCCACGAGCCAACTGGTCCCTGGCCATGGCTAACACGATTACATCTAACACTGTACTTCCCCCTGTGGACAAAGTTGATTGCACGCTGTGTACTTTCCCCTCTCCCTCACCAGACTTTTCTTTGGACTTAGCAGTGAGCTTGGCATGTGGCTTTCCTCTGCTGGCACACTCCCCTGGCTTGGGCTCTCAAGCTGAAGGTCAGTGCCTCCAGCGGGCTGCTGTTCTGCCCTTGGTTCAGGTCAGCTGAGACTCCAACATCGCAGAGCCAAGCTGAGTCAGTACCTGGATACTCCTGCGCCTCTGCCTGGAGATGCCCAGCCCCCCACACACTCTCAGAGGAAAGCTTACCTTTCTTCCCACTTGCAGCTCTAGGCTGGGAGCTCAGGCCCTCTGAGCGACAGAGGGTCCTAGGAGCAAAGCTCCCTTGACGCTTGACGCTTGCTCCCTGGGTGTGCTCTTCGGGAGGTGGCCAGGAGTAAACAATTTCAGCAACTCGGTTGGCAATGGAAGCAACTTTGGGGTCCACACCTGAAACAGGAGAGAACGGTGCTGAGAGCCCTGCCCAGAGCTTGGAGGCGATATTGGTACGCACCGCTGCCCGATCTGAAAAGCGGCCTGAGTGTGTGTGCGGGGCGGGCCATTCCTCAGAAGGCACGGGCAGTTGCCTGGCAGAGGCTGGGATGGGGGAGGAGCCCACCGAGGAATGATGGCCACTTTGAAACCAGGATCCTTTCGCACCCTCTCTTTGAAGTCTTGCAAAACTAGGGTCCCGTTCCCTTTTGTGAGGGAAGAAACACAAAAGGGAGGGCTTAGTTCTTTGCTTGAGGAAATGCTCATTATGCTTTTATTTTTATTCTATTTTTTCCCCCAGACCCTTTATAGTTTGGAGAGCTGGCCCTTATGTGCGTAGGAGGACATTCAATAGTTTGACAAGCCTTTGGGGGCTGGTCACTGGAGAAAGATAAATATCCCTGCTCTCAGGCCATATTCATTACTCAAGTCCATTATCAAGTAAACACTGAGCTCTCCTTGCTTATAAAGTCACGTGTTTCCGCTCTCCTTCAGATCTACTGGGAAACGTCCAACTAAGGCTGATTGGAAGCGAGGACACATAAAGTGCAACCCATAACCTTCAAGAATTTATAATCCAGGAAAAGAGCACGGCATGTATTTGCACACGTAACTGGTGAAGCAAAAACGTTTTGGGACATGAAGGTTTCAAGGACAGTGGCTCCCTGAATGTCATAGCCTGTGAAAGACCCTGGGGGGACATGGGGTTGGTGGGGTGGGCAGGCGGTATCTCTGACTTGTTTGGGAGCAAAATGTTCATTGTTGATTCATTACCTAAGTTCTTAACTTTTAGAAGCTTGTACAAGCTTCATCTTTGATGCCATTTGAAGCAATTGTATCGTGTAATGCTTGAAAGTAATACTATTTCATTTACGGGCTTGAAGTAACAGAGAGGGGTTTCGGCTGGAAGGTGGCTGTGTCTGGGAAATCCCCTTATAAATCAGGAGAGGCGAGAGGCAGGGCCTGGGTCTCAGGAGGGACTGTGTAAAACGCAGGTTCTGACACCCCGTGGAGCTGCCACAGGGACACCTGGGCCTCTCCCTGGACTCCTCCGTGGCGTGAGTCTTGGTGTTCTCCTTCCACTCCCTGGGCATCCCCAGAAGGGCCTTGGAGACTGCTGCTCGGCTCCTATGTCCCCTTTTAAAAAAGGCACAATGGCTTCCTTAAAAAGTCATGCTCCATCCATAGGGTTCAGTAACAGATGCGTGAATTAGAGAATAGAGAGGTCAAGGACAGAAGAAGCAATGCCTTAATTCCCATTTAAACAACCAAACTAAATATACTTTCCACTTTTAAATCACCTTCTTGCAGCCCAACCAGCCTCCTCTTGAACTCCCAGCACCCATGGCCCTTGGCAAGGATATGGCAAGAGGCTGGATCCCAAAGCCAACGGGAACCTTCGTTTGCAGTGTCCACAGGACACAGGAAAGAAGAGCTTATGTTTTCTACTTCTGTGACCTTGTGCCGCCTAAGATGATCAGTGCATGGTTCTCATTATGCCCCATCTTGCACCCAAAGAAAACAGATAAAGGTCCCAAAGGCTGTCCCTCCTCATCCCCCACCCCCATGTGGCAGGGCAATCACAGGACCCTGGCAGTTACAGAAGTACCCAACCTGACTTGCCTGTGTACAGTGTATGGGTTTCTTGGGGGGGGTGGGGGTGGGGGTGGGGGAATCGCAAGCAAATGCATTTTGACTCAGATGAACTAGCTCTAGTTTAAGATTCCCATTTTGAATACCTTAATTTTAAACACTGAAAAAAGAAAAGATTCCTTTCTTGTCAGAGTAGGTTCCACCTGATAGGCAAGGGGAAATTGGGTGGGGGTGGAGAGAGAACAGTAAGGCTGCCCAGTCTTTGGCATCTATTTTTGGGGGTCACTGTGGGGCTAAGGAGTTGGGAAGGTGCCGTTCAGCCTTTGGCCCGAGACTTTTGATTTAAAGAGAAGGGGCAGAAAGTCTGGGAGAGATTTCCATATGGTTGAGAGTGCTATTTCCCACCCAGTATCCGTTTTCTTCTTCCCTCCTGAAATGTCAGAGGCAGCAATGGTTGCAGCTGAAAAACTCTACTTCCCTGCCTCCCTTGCAGTTAAGAATGGCCAATGTGATGCAAGAAGAAATTGGGTGCAGTTTCAAGAAAGCTCTCTGAAAAGGGAGCTGAGTTCTTTAGAAAGAAGACACCCTTTCGTCCTTCTTTTGCTGCCTCTTTCTCCTGCTTGAAATGTAGACATGCTGGCTGGAGCCGCAGCAGCTACCTTAGGAAATAAGGTCACTTGGAGGCTGGAAGCCACTAGCTAAGGGAGGGAAAGAATAAGAATCCCTAATGACTATGGAACTACCATGTCAGGCCTGGGCTGCCAAACGCTGGTCGTCTTTGATGGGAGAGAATAGTAACCCCTAGGCCGCCTGGGACACTTGCTGGGACAGGACTACCATGGTGACAGATACGCCTGCAGGCTGTGGCCCAGGCCATTTTTGCTGGCTGTAAGCAGGGTCTCCAGAACCAGAGGGAGCACACAGCTCTTCTTAAAATGGAAGATGTTGATGCTCAAGATGAAACGGAATTCTGTCTGGGCAAGAGATGTGCTTATGAGTACGAGGCAAAGAACAACACAGTGACTCCTGGTGGCAAACCGAACAAAACCAGAGCCACTGGGGGAAAGCGAAGTCATGCTCACAGAAACAGTCGCGTGGCTCGTGCTAAATTCTGAAACAACCTTCCTGCGAAGGCCAATGGACGCCGAATCTGTGTAATGCTGTACCCCTCAAGGATTTAAACTTACTGAAAAGAAAAGAAATAAAAGTAAATTTGCAAAAAAGAAAAATAACCTGTACACTATTTAAGCCATAGCTATCCGAGCTGGTCACTATACGTAAGCGGCTGAGCCAGTTGTTAGCGGCCACGTTTCACAGGCAGTGAACCACAGCTGTGGGGAAGCCAACGCTTCACAAGTAAAAGAACCTGGGTTGGTAGTTTCTAAAAAATTGGTATTGACATCCGTTTTTCTACAACATGAGACCTCTCTGTACTAGACTCTGGTCTTGAGACATCACCTCATCGTCCTCAATTAAGCCTGGAGCCTGAGGCCTGGAAATGGCAGCCCAGGGTTCATCGTGACCTTTAGTGAAAAGAACCTTGGGGATGCCAACTGCTGAGCTCTGACTTCCATGCGGCAAAGTAGAAAGGGAATTTGAGGCTCTCTGGGGTCACACCCAACATACAACCAGCTAACCACCCACACAATTAATTGAACAAGAAAGCGAGGAAGAAAAAAATAGGTGAGAAGAGAGGATAACTGTGTAAAAATGTTTAAAGCTAAGTCTACTTAGGAGGTAACTTTTTCTATTTTTTAGGGATATCTCTCTATCTACCTATATAGACATCTTAAAATGTTAAGAACTAAATAAAGGCCAAGTGACACTTGAGTAGTATGGAAATACAGAATGTCCTTCATCTCAGGAAAGCCAGAAGATGAAAGTCTGTGAAATCATCTGTCTCCGGGCAAAGTCCAAAGAACAGGCCAAGCAGAAAAGCCTGTTTAGATGCCTTCAAATGGCTCTGTTAGCTCCGGAGCTCCGACCACGCCCAGCAGAAGGAGCTGCTGTACCACTGGGGGAAGGGAGCTCCCCAGATAATCCCACCCTCACTTTTGCTCTAAAATTCTATGTCTACTGGGAAGTAGACGTTTCCTTGATCATAGTGAATGATCTAGAGCTGTCCCTGTGTGAGCTGATTCTCCAGGCCCGTCACAAGATTTAAAACCTGAGACATGACTGCCACCTGTTGACTAATTATAGGTAAGTTACACAGTCCAGTCAGCCCAGCGGGAGAGGAGTTTTCATTTAAAACCTGGGCATCAGGCACGACATTGTTGAAGGAGAAAAAGCAGCTTATGCCAAGCTTTGTGTATGGAGGTAAACTCTCTGATGAAGTCTCTTATGAAAATGTTTTATTCAATACAATGGATTTTGTCCCTCTGAGGGGAGACTTTGTAAGTGTCCTTCAAAGTTGTCTTTTTAGAGTGGTTTAGACTTTGAAAAGTATTTCTGTGTGTAGCTACCTGATCTTTCCAACTCTCCTAAGAGCTAGGGAGGGTGAGATACCCCAATGTACAGATGGAAACACAGAGGCCCAGGGAGGTGAGTTGACTTACCCCAGGAAGAGAAGCAGCTAGAGCCCCTGGCTAGAGCACTTCCCCTTATACTAGTACTGGTCTTCGACACAGAGGTTTAGGAATTTGGGCAGTAAGCTTATTCATAGACAGTGAAGCCAGAAAACCAATCCCATCACCTTTCACTGACACCCTTTCCTCTCTGCTCAGTCTTGAGAAAAGTAGGGCAATTATTATTAAATATCAATAACTTGGGAGACTGAGGCACAACGAATGCCTTGCTTAAGGCTGCGTTACCAGCTGGGAAGCGATGAACTACTATGCATACAAAGAAGGGAAAGATTTAGTTGCAGGAGAAAAAGATTCCCATCAAAGCCTACCTTGGTTCTCTAAGCGCTGCTCCACGTTGGAAAGGGACCGAGAACATTGTTGAGTGTGAAGACCACCCTCATGCTCCACTCTCTTTGGACCCTGAGCCTGGATCTCCGTAGGCAAGCTCTCTGAATCTTCATCCTTCTCTGCTACTCCAAAGAGAGATCTCCAAGAGGACTTTTTCTTGGTGAGGTTTATGGGCTTCTCACTAGATCGGGAACTTCTGCAAGGCCACGACTCGTTTGCTGACCAACTCCCCAGTCCTCTCTGGGACAGGCTTCTGGTCCTGGGCAGCTTTGGTGAGAAGACAGCAGACGTGCTCTTGAAGACATGGTGTTTGGCGTAGAACTCCAGTATTTTGAATTCAATGCTGTTTGGGTCATCATCATCCAGGGGGATCTCCTCCAGGTCGCATGCACTGGTGGTGCACATGGCGGGCCTGCAACGACAGAGTCCACACGTGTCCTCTACCTGTGGGCGCCTCCTGTCGGTCAGGGGAGACAGGGGTTAAACTGAATGAACATTTATTAAGCATCTATTCAGTTTGTTCTGGGAGGTAGGAGTAGTCGGAGATGGAAAAGCCAGGGCTCTTTTTGAAAGTTCAGTCTCATAGAGACACGAAGAAGAGATCTGGACATAGATAATTCCAAACAGTGAGCTAGGACTGGAGCGGAGGTGCAGAGCCAGGCGAGGAAGATGGGGAGGAATAGAAGGTGCAAATCAAGGGCGAGTGATGGCTCTTTGAAAGATAAAAGGGTTTAGGCAGCTGGGTGGATAGTGGGGCTAAGGACAGGATGGGTAGAAGAAGAGTCTATGGATGAATTTAGGACGTTCGAAGAGTGATGAGAGAACTGTAAGGCAAAAGCTTTGTGGTTAGCTGGGGACTCAGAACGTAGAGGGACAATAAATGAAGTGGCAGTCAGGGCCAGGTTATGGGGACCTTCTAATGTTAGGCTGAAAGCTTTGTATTTGCTCACGTTGGTCAGTCCGTACATTTCAAAAGGAGCCCTAGACTATGGAGGGCAGCTAAAGGCCTTCTTGGAAGTTAAAGGTCTTCTAGGTGAGCAAATGAAAAGGCCAGCTGCCTGGGTGTATGGCCCTTCCCGTCTTCTCTCCTGCTTCCTTTACACTCTACTTTCGTCTGTATAGATTTGCGTATTTATTTATTTATTTATTGAGAGAGAGAGAGATGAGAGCAACACATTGACTGGCCTCCTCGTGCACGTTCCCTACCGGTGATCAAGCCCACAACCAAGGCATGTGCCCTAATCAGGAATCCAACCGGCAACCTTTTAGTGGTACACAGGACAACGCCCAACCAATTGAGCCACACCAGCCAGGGCTGTTTCTCTTTCCATATTTGGTATTCCATGTAAGATTTCATCTGAAAAAACCTGCTGTTTTTAACAAATTTTAAGACTACTGATGGAGGCAATGGAGAGCTTTTCAGTTTTGAGCAGGAGAGTGATGTGATCACAGACACGTTTTAGGAAGATCAGTACAAGAAAAAAATGACAGGGAGGGAAGGGTTTCATTTTCATATGAATAACCAAATAGATACAAGAAACTGATTTTGTTCAATGTAAGCTTTCATGAAATAATTCCTTTTCTGGTCCCCTGCTGGGAAGGCGTTTCTTTTTGTTAAACATCTACTTTGCTTTCTTCTGAGTGAAAGATGTTGCTTAGCGATATTGAGACCTGAGGTGGGTGTGAGTAACTGAAGTGGACAAGGACTGTGCGACCTGAGACACACAAGGAGTGAGCCCCAAAGGATGCGGCAAGAGCGGGCCGTGCGGGCAGAACGCTGGGCAGCAACTTGGTGTGGAAGGGGCTGAGCCCAGGCCAGAGCCCAGAGCTGGAATGTGTCAGGAGGGGATGGCTGAGGTGTTTCATTTGAAGCTTCCTTTTGAATTGGACAGTCCAGGACACTGTGGGCAGAAGGACATTTGGATCCTACAGGAGCTATGTACTGGGTAGAAGGGCGAGCCCTCTCCTCAAACCATAATATTATGCTTCCGTAGACACCTCCATCTAAGTTTGCATTGTTTTTTTTAAAAAAAACTTGGACCTTTCTCATGTAGCGTGAGGACTGTAAGTGTGTGTGTGTGTGTGTGTGTGTCATTGTTGGAGAGAGGAAGGTCAAACTTAAATAAGTTTGCTAAATGCTGATTCAGGAGCAACATCAGAAAGGAGGGAAAGCCACTGAGGCCAGGAAGGACCACAAACTCCTTCTTCCATTTGTGAAAGGAGTTTTTGTTGTGCTTCAGGCTAGAAAGGAAGGGAGTACCTGGCCCACGCAACAGGCAAGATCAAGGACAAGAGAGAAGCAGAGAGCACAGCAGTGCTGAGGCAGTGGCCACCCCAATGAATGGGGCAACCCTACGGACGGGGTGGGTGCTGGGACCAGGGCTTGGGAAGCACTTGGCTCAAAGAGAATGCATGGAGACATGAAAGTATTACTTAAGACACTGTAAATGCATTTGACAAGTGTAGGTTTATTTTTCCTTACTAATCCTCATTGTGAATTAAGGGAGAGCTATTGTTCAGTGGACAGCTAAGTCTTAAAGCAGCAGTGAGCTATGTTATCACACATTGGACCCCTTCTGCTCTCAGCTATTCCTTGTTGAAAGTAAAAGCCCAAGGTCTGGGTTGTGGAAACTTACACCACAGGTTTATGCTTATGTTCATGGAAACAAGGCTCTGAGTGGAGCTCCTGAGCTCTGGGTCAGAGCCAGGAGGGAAGAACTAGCTCCCTAGTCAGACCCGTGAGACTTGTTCTTTTTCTTTCTTTCTTTAAAAAAAAAATTTTTTTTTTATTGATTTCAGAGAGGAAGAGAGAAATAAAGACATCAATGATGAGAGATTAGCATTGCTTGGCTGCCTCCTGCACGCCCCACACTGGGGACCGAGCCTGCAACCCGTCACATGTGCCCTGACCAGGAATCAAACCATGATTTTGCTTCATAGGTCGATGCTCAACCACTGAGCTACACTGGCTGGGCAGTTCAAACGGTTCTAATGCCGCTTTTGTTTGAGAACCGCTGAACTTTAGGGGCATGTTGCTTGTTGGCTTAAACTTTAATGAGCACCATTTTGGCTGAGTGGCTGATTCCTCATACAGTGGTTTTAAGGAAACGAGAAAAAGGCTAATTTGGGGCTCTGGGTAGCAAGAGGTGGGCAAGACAGTACCATGATCAGCCCTGTCACAGTCACATTTGTTTATTTTTTGTCTATGGCTGACCCTGCTAGTGTATTAGGAAAATTCCTTCTCCTCTGGGCTTCACAGTCCTTGTCTGTAAACTCAGGGAATGGGAGTCCTGCTTTCTCTGCCTGGTGTGGGGTTAAGTGAGGTTGCAGGCCTAGTGCCTCGTGCAGCAGGTATTCAGTGATGGTCCCTTTGCTGCCCTCACTGAAGTCAGTGAGCTACCTGCAAGGTCAGGGGGCAGGGCCAGCCTGTCCTATGGTCAGTGTGATAGCCCTAGGAACCAGCACAGTTCCTGACCCAGAACTTTCTACTTTTGGAGGCATAGTAGAGACTATCAGAAAAAATTGAAGAGCTGATTCTGAGGTCTGAATCTAAAGTGCGCACACCTGGTGTCAGGCATGGGTGAGTGGGAGGTGGAGGGGAACACGTGGGCCTTAAGCCTCATGAAAGCCTAATACCTTCGGTGGGCTCTGCCCCACCCTAGAGAGGGTGTCGAAACGTGTTCCATTCAATGAATGACTCGGGATCCGGCTATTATTCTCTGATCACCTTATGTTTACATAGACTCTCCTTATCTATAGCAAACCACACCAATTTACTCTCCAAAGCAAGATTACACAAGTCCTTCTGTTGGCCTCTTTTCCTTCCCAGAGAGTTCTTTCCCCACAACCCCCCAAATGGCCAAAGTCCTTGGGGTCTCCTCTGGCTTGTCCTTCAGGAGCCCCACGGTGAAGGCACTGGGGTGTGGGAACAGAGGGGGAGCCCAGAGCTGCGGGGGAAGCACCTAAACTCCTGTGAATGCCAGACACACTTTCGGGATTTTTCTAGTCCTGGATTTGTTTGTTGAGGTTAGATTTCACTTCCCTGTGGGAGGTAATA